GTTATATTATTATTAGAGATATCTGAGGTGTGTTGTTATATTATTATTAGAGGATATCTGAGGGTGTTGTTATATTATTATTAGTAGATTGATTGAGGGTGTTGTTATAATATTATTAGAGGATAGTCTGAGGTGTTTTGTTATAATTATTATTAGAGGATATCTAGTGTGTTTTAATTATATAGAGATATCGAGGGTGTTGTTATATCATTATATAGCAGGATATCGAGGGTTGTTTATAGTTATTATTAGAGGATATCTCGAGGGTGTTGTTATATATATATTGTAGATGGATATCCTGAGGGTGTTGTTAATGTATGTATTAGAGGATATCTGAGGGTGTTGTTATATTATATAGTAGGATATCTAGTGTGTGTTATATTATTATAGAGGATATCTGAAGGTGTGTTATATTATTATTAGAGATATCTGAGGTGTTGTTATATTATTTATTAGACGGATATCTGAGGGTGTTTGTTAGAATTATTATTAGAGGATATCTGAGGTGTTTGTTTATATTATTATTAGAGGATATGCTGAGGGTGTTGTATAATTTTTATTTAAGAGGATATCTGAGGGTGTTTGTTATATTATTATTAGAGGAATATCTGAGGGTGTTGTTATAGTTATATTAAGAGGATATCTGAGGGTGTGTTATATTATTATTAGAGGAATCTGAGGTGTTGTATATATATAATTATTAGAGATATCCTGAGGGTGTTGTTCATATTAGTATTTAGAGGATATTCTGAGGTGTTGTCTCAGATATCCTCTTAATAATATATATAATAACACCCTCAGATATCCTCTAATAATATATATAATAACACCCTCAGATATCTCTTAATAATATATATAATAACACCCTCAGATATCTCCTCATAATATATATAATAATACCCTCAGATATCCTCTAATAATATATATAATAACACCCTCAGATATCCTCGAATAATATATATAATAACACCCTCAGATATCCTCTAATAATATATATAATAACACTCTCAGATATCCTCTAATAATATATATATATATATATATATATATAATAACACCCTCCGATATCTCCCAATAATATATAATAATACCCTAAGATATCCTCTAATAATACACTGTGAGCTATGCTGATACATAATGTACTGTATGCAATGAATGCTACTAAGTACTAATGTATTGTTTATCTATATTGTATTGTAAACGGACACTATGTATTGTATATATATATAGATGTTCGGTTCAATACAATATGACGGTCACGAGCATCGCTAGCTGTGTCGTGTAGTGAGTGGCTGCATGGCAGCATGAGGCCTCGACTAGGCTCTCTTTTCACCGTTCCGAATACAAGGCCACGACGTTCCATCATACAGCGGGGCATTCTTCTATCTATCTATCTATCTATATATAACCGTCACACTATCCGAACCCAAACCTATCCTTACCCCAATCTAAATCTAACCCTAATCTAACTCAACCCTAAGCGCATAGCAACCTCTGGCGTTAAGCATAACCTGAATCGCTGGCAATGTCGGTGTCGCCACTGCCGCTCGCTACGTCGCGGGCCATTGACGCCGAACGAATCTGCACCTAGAGTTTCTCTTTCCGTCGGCGCTAATACACACGCCGTCGACGCCTGCTCGTTCGCGTCGCTTGATAAATCGCATCTTGCGTCGAGTTAGCTCGACAAATCGAAAATGCTTGAGCGCAGGTAATCGAGTTGTGCCGACTTTATTCTAGGACGTTCTGTACATGTCGTCATCATCGTCATCGTCGCTTTCGCAAACACGAGCGAACATGCCGCGTGCGAGCGAACCACACAGATACGTTTAAGCTTACTGTGTATAAGGGTCGCTCGAGCATATACTAGTGTTCGTTATAGACACCTGTCCGTTCTACAGAGGTGGGTTCACTTTGTGACTGACACTGAAGAGAAATGTCCAATGTATCCTTTATAGACTAGCTGTTAGCACAGGGGTTTACTCAACCACGGGTTGACTGTGTGAAGTTGTACGAATAACATAGGTTGTGTCTTAGACGTGGTATAACTTAGACGTGGGTCGCGCTCAATTATGAGACCACACGCAGTAGGAAGAATCAGGGATATGTCGCGTGAGTCTGCGGCACGCGTAAGTTGCTGGGAGGTGGCGTGAGTTTACAAGCCTTGAGACGAACCCAGAACAAAGTCCCCCACCCGACAAGTCGAACCCAGTCACAAGCCCAGCAACAAAGTTTCTGGAAGGCGTGTATGGCGTTTTATGAATATGTAGAGAGAAAAAAACTTTAGGGGGAAGAAAATACGTCAATTAAATGTGATGCTGACGTGCGAATTGAGCGGTCGGGTGAGTAATTGGTGACCGGTAAGCTTCCAGCATTGCTGCCTAATGACGTCACTTCGTGACCAGAGTCCACGCCGTGAGCCGGGTCGCATCGCCCTTTTCGAATCAATTTTAAGCTTTCGCGAATCATACATCTCATGGATTAGCAAACTGCGAGTCGGTAACTTTGTTGACGTAACTTGTTATTTTGACTGACCTTCAATTTTCGTAGAAGTCAGATCGTTTTCGACTCGTAAAACGATCACGTATACGTTTTTTTTAAACAAACATGTTTACATTTTTAGATCCAGTGCAATACTTACGATTCAATTTCATCGATTCGCTAATCAATTTTATCAATGTGATAATCAATTTCATCAATTTGATAATCAATTTCACCATTTTATTTATTAGCGAATTGCTATTCCATGGCGTACGCTGGTCGTGACAATGCTTCAGGCACGCGCCACACGATCAGTCGTTATTCTACCGCGCTTTCCTCCAATCGTCGAAAGTGTTCTAGCTAAGAACTAGACGCCATTCACTTAGCCATCGTTCTCTTGTATGTCTCGCTTCCATATGTTCACGTGCCTGAGTCATATACAGATGGAGTGGATGACGTGAAAACTAAACTGTCGTGATTGAAGTGAGCATACTAGCGGGGGCGCTCGGTGTGGTACTTGTAGCGAGGTAGTGCGTGTATTACATAATCGTACAGTAGACTCGTGCGTTGCTCTTCTCTCTCTCTCTCTCTCTCTCTCTCTCTCTCTCTCTCTCTCTCTCTCTCTCTCTCTCTCTCTCTCTCTCT